TGGGTATTTCTTGCATGCTTGCACTAAATGTGACCTATGGGACTGCTTTCTAAATTTTAGCCTTTGGGATATTGGCTATTGTACCTTGAATAATGTATGTTTTATGAGGAATTCTTCAGTATATATCTTGGTCAATTTTTTCAGTTATTAATACTTTGTTCTGGAAATGCATGTGGGAGTTCATCACTGTATAGGCACAGTGTATATATAAAAATGTACATCATGCAAAACCTTGTTGGTAGGTGAAATTTACACAATTGATATCCTCATCTCTCCTAGCCCAATTGAATAATAGCATCCATAAATTACCAAGACAGAAATGTTTGGCAAGCCAAAATTACACAAATTACAATTTGCCTCCAAACCACAATGGGAAACTATTGCTTGAACTAGATTTCAATTGTTTTCTAGGGAAATGAAGGTTACTTGTAAGCACAGTCTGCTTTATACAAACAACAAAACAAACTATGGTTATGGCAAGCAAATGAATTAACACACACAAACAAAGAGAAGGATAGAGTGCTTGGTCCTAAATCCTATTCCAAATTATTAAACCTTGCCTTTGCTGTGAAGTTTGAGGACACAGCAGCTTAGAAAATACCATAAAGCATCCATCTTCAGATTAACTTTTTAGAAGGTTTTAAATGTGATTAGTTTTAGGAAGAATTAAGATATGCAGCTACAAATGGCATAGATATAATGGACACTACTACTGGATCCATATAATACTTTTTCCCTTAGGTGGAGCTGTGTTCCAGCAAAACAGCAAAGAATTTTGTGGTATCTTAAGAGTAATAAGCTTTATTTGACAACGCTTTCATAATAGAGTGCAGTCCCCTTTTTGTTCTTTAAGGTGCTGCAAGACCCTTCACTGGACTTACTTTTGGAGGGTGTCATTGACTTGTCTCTATTTTATAAAGCTTTACATCATATATATATATATATATTAAATAACATAATTTATTATTTTTATTGCTTCAAGAATTTTACTGGAAAGTCTAATATAATTTTTAAAGTATATGTTTAATTCTCAAGTAAAACTCTTGAAGTGATATGATATCAAACAACATCCACAATATACTGGGTGATTTTCTTGATTTTAATCTTAATTTTGTACTTGCTGTGCTAACTCCAAAATTTTTACATGCCGCTCAGTTTAACTTATGGTCTATTAAAATCACAATATGCCTTTGTATCTAATAGGACACTCAGAGACTACACTAAGAAAGAAACCTAGTGGCTTATGAAAAAATTTGAGTTAGACAGCAAGTTCAAATTTGCATTAAAATCAAGACATTCATCTAGTATGTTGTTGCTGCCATACCATTTGAAGAGTTCCACAAGGAAATGGGATGTATACGTTAAAAAAAATTGTATAAGACTTCCTAGTAAATATAAAAACATAAAAATAAATTATTTACTCTAAAAAATGTACCTTAACATCAGTGCACCCTCTGTAAAGCTTAAGTAAGACTAATTATGTATATTGTAGCCTGTTAAAGTCTAGGATATATTGTTTGGTATAATCTTTCACAGACAGCTCTGGTTATATGCACACTTTATATAAGCACACCCTCTATAAAAGAGGACTTACTTCCAAATAAACTATCTGACCTATCACTTTCCATGTTGTTGTTTGTTGTTGTTGTTTGCCTCTGATGCCATTGCAGAGGGAATAAGGTGTACTGAGCCCCATCCAGATCAGCATCAACGCCGTAAGCTGCTCAGAGCAGACCAGGGACATAAGTTTCGAAAGCCATCGAGAGTCTGAGGCTGCATCCACACTGCAAAAATAATCCACTTTGGACGTTTTCACACGGGGTCCCTAAAGCCGGCTGGAGTCCTTCCCCTAAAGCCGGCTGGATCCCCGTGCCGCCGACGCCGGAATGACTCCGCCGCCGAAAGGCTAATTCCTTTTGCCACCCGGCATTACCTGAAGCCGGCGTTAGCCAGGAATTAGCCTGCCTCCGCCGGAGTGACGCCGGACTTAGGGCTCCGTGCGTTTGAACACACGGAGCCAAAAGCCGGCCTGACGCAGGGATGACGTCAGGAGGGGCGGGGTTTGCCGCCACGTGTGTGTGAACACACGGAAAATGGAGACGGAGTGGGGCCGGAGTGAGGCCGGCTAGCCTCCTCAAAAAGCCCCGTGTGAAAACGTCCTTAGACACCACTTTAACTGCCATGGCTCAGTGCTATGGAATTCTGGGATTTGTAGTTTGTTGTGGCACAAAAGCTCTCTGAAAGAGAAGGCTAAATCACAAAGCTACAGTTCCCAGAATTCCATAGCATTTAATCATGATAGTTAAATTGGTGTCAAACTGGATTATTTCTGCAGTTTAATCAAGCCTTAGAACAAGATGTCAGATTTCAAGATCTCCAGCAGGCCTATATATAGTCCTACAAACATTGGACACAACCAGTATTGCTTTTAAGTCCAACTTATGGTGACCCTAAGGTGAACCTATCATGGAGTTTTCTTGGCTAGATTTGTTCAGAGCAGGCTTGTGTTTGCCTTCCTCTGAGGCTGAGAGAGTGTCACTTGCCCAAGATCACCTAAGGCTGAGCAGGGATTCAAACCCTGGTCTCCAGAGTCCTAGTCCAAGATTCAAACCACTACACTATGCTGGTTCCCTATGCAATTATTAATATGGATAATAACATCATTAATAATTAATAATATAATCAAGATTATAATAAAACATATAATTATTTGGGTACAGCATTCATTTTGATTTTTTTAAACTGTTGAGTCTTTGGCTGAACATGACATTCTCACTGAAGCCACCACTAGTCACTGAAATAAGAACATTTAATAAAGTAAGATAAGCCATATTATGGGCCAGTAAATGGTAGAAGAGAGAAAAAAGGTTTTGATTAGATATTTAGTGTAATTAATTTGAAGACAAAGAAAGACATTATTCCATTACTAAATGATAATATGATATTTAATAAATAATAAATAAATAATATTATTTACTTGGCATACTTTTTGTGCCTTCATTTTTTCTTTTGGTCAGATTGAGTGTCTTTAAAAAGCTATATTTCTATTTGTCAAATATAGTATTGGAAATTTAATATCTGGAAATAATTTTAATACAATATTATTTTGCAACAGGAGAAGGAATAGATAATTTCTGGCAAGTTCTCATAGAAGGCAAAAACTATGTTCAAGAAATACCTCCAGAAAGATTTGATACAAGAGACTGGTATGATCCAGACAACAGCAAACCAGGAAAAACGAGCACAAGACACGCAGCTCTTGTTGAAGAGTAAGTTTTAAATATTAATCATATTTCCAAAATGCACCATAATGCTTTCCAAGCATGTGCCAGTTTATTTCCTTTGATGGAGAAGATACAGGAATCTGAATGTGAAGACAGCAAGAAATGAGAGCATATAAAGTGTGCATTGATTGTGTAACTTTCTGGCCACTGTTTTTCAGGAGAATATGCTTGGTAGAATCCCAGATTGCATTCTTGAACCAAATACCTAAAGATGTTCTATATTTAAAATTTTCTTTCCAGCATCGAGTTCTAAGTGTATTTAGAAATCATTTTGTGGGAAGAAATGCTAGGAATATATTAACACATTGTCACAAATATTTTATTCAGTCTTTCTGAAATAAAACATTTTATTTCCCTCCCTGTTTTAAGGGACCCTTGCAAGTCACTGGAGGGAAAAAATATGGAAAATCCTCCATCCAGTTCCCAATTTTTCTAGTCTTCCCCGTCCCAGGTCTTCATGCTTCTACTGGAGGCCAAATCTGGACCCAATATCTGCTTATGTATATTTACTGTATTTATTTAAGTGGAATATATGAACAACTTGTCTCAAATATTTATTAATCTAAATTCAAATATTTCATTATCCAAACTTCTTTTCAGATAAAAAGAATAAGTGCCTGCCAGTTTTTTGTTCCAGAATTTCCCCATAAATTTTCTGCTTCCATTTTTTGTTCCAGATTTCCCGATACATTTTCTGCTTCCCTTAATAATATTTTGAATTCAAATCTGTGTATGCACCTGTGTGTGTGTGTTGTTAACTATATATATTAGTCTCCACTGTCCTAAACCTACTACTAACAGAAACTCTATTTGTTTCTGCCCCTTTGCCTAGATTTTAAATGACTACAAGATTTTTTTTAAAAAAGAAAAATATTTGGTTGCCTTGTAAATGAATGTGTTGGTAGTATCCTATGTTCCTTTATGTTACCATTTCCACTTCTGTTTCATAGGTTTAATGCATTTGACAATAGGCTTTTTGGGATTAATGATGTGGAAGCTGAGTGTATGGATCCACAGCAGAAACTACTTCTGGAATGCACCTATAGAGCACTAGAAGATGCAGGAGTCACTAGAGAAGACATGAATGGTTCCAAAACTGGAGTTTTTATTGGTAAGATTCTTAAAATGCTTATGCTGCTGTTTAAAACATTTCAGTTACATAAAGTGGAATGTCCAGGACTGACTCACAGGACTTTAAAAAATGAAATCAATAAAAGTAGAATTGTCCTCTGATCATGATGTTTTGAAGACACTACATAATTATAGCACTTTGATCCCACTTTAACTTCCATGGTTCAAACCTAAGAAATCCTATTATTTGTACTTTCCCAAGATATTTAGAACTTTCTGCTATAGAGTATTGCTGCCTTGTCAAAATTACAAACTCATGAATTCCTGAAGATGCAACTATGGTCCAAAACATACTGCAGAAATAATCCAGTTTGAGACCACCTCTGTTAACAAAGCCTCTGACAATGAAGTTCCTTTTTACAAGGTCTTTTTTTTTTTTTTTTGCTTATCCAAACCTCTTTTTTCTTCCTCATATACTTTTGGTGTTGGATTGCAGCAACAGATCTGCTGCAGTAAACAATCAATAAACTTTAATTTAGGGATGAATTTGGTTCTACTGTAGCCAAGATTTGTTCAGAGGTTTGCCACTGCCTTCTCCTATGGCTGAGAGAGTGTGACTTGCCCAAGGCCACCCAGTGAGTTTCCTGGCTGAGCTGGGAATTTAACCCTGGTCTCCAGAGTTGTAGTCCAACACTCAAACCACTACACCACACTACCAGTATTTAAAAGATGGCTTCAACACATCAAAGTCCACTGAAAAATGTAATGACATTTTGTCAAATGTAATGCCCATGTCAATCAACTCATTGTTAAGTACAAACAAGATTATCTATCACCTAGTTTAAAACAGGGGGAAAGTCATTTAATATAGATACAATTTCCCTTAAAATTCTACAACTTTTGATGCTAATATTGCACTAACTAGAATAGTACAGTGGGTCCTTGTTATCCACTGGGGTTTGGTTCGAGGACCTGCCGTGGATAACAAAACTTGTAGATACTCAAGGCCCATTAAATACAGTGGCATAGCAAAATGGTATGCCTTATATAAAATGGAAAATCAAAGTATGCTATTTGGAACATATTTTTTTGAATATTTTCAAGCCATGGATGCTTGAATCCATGGATAAAGTATCCGTGGATAAGGAGGACCAACTGTCGAACTATAATGTTTGAGGCAATATTTTTCAAAGACCTGGGAACTGATAATTGATGGAGAAGATGAAGGAGATTTTAGAACTACTAGGTATTTTGAACGGAATATGTTGAGGGTGGTTTTTTAAAAAAAGAATACGAGATATATAACTAACAAATAGCTTTTGTACATTATTTGCTAAATTTACAATTGCAGAATAGAGATGAGATTCAGTTCACACAAGTCAGTTTATTTGTAGGTTAATTATATGTATCTGCATGCTAATTATGCAGATTGAAACATGCTGTATTTCTTACTCACTTCCTCATATATTATCTATTGTTTTCACAGGAATGATGAATCGAGACTATTTGCTAAGAAGCATCAGAAGCACCACTGAAATTAGCCATTATGATGCCACTGGGGCAGCAATGAGCATAGCAGCAAACCGGATTTCATATACATTTAATCTGACTGGACCATCAATTGCCATTGACACAGCCTGTTCCTCATTTCATTATGCTTTACACCTTGCTCTGCAAGCAATTAAACAAGGTAGACTAATAAGATTGCCTAATACTTGTTCTTTGAATTTAATTATACCCTGGCTTTTCTCTGAGGAACTCAAGAGGGTTTATGTGACCCATTAGGGCTCTTTCATGCTACATGCTTATAGCACTTTGAGTCCACTATGGAATCCTGCCATTTGTAGTTTTGTGAGATATTCAGAGTTCTCTGCCATTTCTCCATTGCCTTCCCAGGCTTCCAACCACCAAAGTTTCCATAGGATGCAGTCATGACATTTGAAGTGGAATCAAAGTGTTGTAACTGCGTACTATAAAGAGACAATGAAACTGCCACAGATAGAGAGTGCATGACAGCAGCAAAGCATCCTTGGTGTATAAACTGCAAAATAAAACTGTGCATGGGGCTCTCACTTTTGGAGCGATCAGCTAATGCAACATGTGATGCCAAAAGTGGTTTCTGGAGCCTGCTTTACCAGGCATATTGTGCAGGTGCTGTTTAATATTCACAGCCTCTCAGCTCACCTCTAGATACAATTCCAGTTCTTGCCTATAAAGCCCTAAAGGTTTGGGGCCACACTATCCAAAGAACCACTTTCTTCAATATGATCTTGATATGCTCAATATCTGAGATCCACCTCTGTATCCTATCTCTCTCAGTGATATATCTGGTTGGAATGCTAGACATAATTTTTGATTGTGTTGCTCGAGTTGTGGATGTTTCCTTTCTTTTTCACCTTTAGGCAACAAAATAAGGCATTTTGTTCCTACCTAGCTTTTGGATTTTTTTTCTCTAAGATGAAAAAAGAATCTTTAAGCTCTTCTCCTTGCATTGTGCTAATTGTTTTGCTTTAGTTCTAGGGCAAGACTGGCAGAGCAGTACCTTTTATTTCAAAGGTATTGCATGATAGCTTATAGATTCCAATAGTGAAGTGGTGCATGGGCTGATGGAAGCATAAGAAGTGGCTCCAGAAAAGTGAGTCTGCAGGAAGTAGATAGTCAACCACAATTTGAAAGGCATTCATGGTTGTATTTAATAAGTGAAATATATTTTTTAAAAAGAATAGAAAGCCGGGTGTATTTTTTCAACAGAAAGCCAAATATTGAGTCTAACAGTGACCCCAGCAAATGTTCTTTCTTCCTACAGGAGATTGTGAAGCTGCTCTTTGTGGGGCAGTTAACTGTATCATAGAACCCCAAGTTTTCATACCTCTTAGTAAAGCAAAATTAATCTCGCCAGAAGGAGTCAGCAAACCCTTTTCTACAAAAGGTGATGGCTATGGAAGAGGAGAGGGCTGTGGCGTTCTTTTACTGAAACCTTTAAAGAAGGTAAGGAAGCAGAATTAAATTTGTTTGACAAAAATATTGCTCTTGACCAGGGGTAGGCAACCTAAAGCCCGGGGGCCGGATGCGGCCCCCCGAGGCCTTTGGACCTGCCCCGGGCCGGTCCTGCCGCCCCCCGCCGCCCCCACCTGCCATGATGATATTGATTATTGTCGTTATTACCTGTTCTTGGGGTTTTCTTGGCAAAATCTCCACACGGGTTTTGTCATGGCTTTTCTGGGGCTGAGAGAGTGTGCATGCATATATTTTTTTTTAAAAAAAATCTTATTTATTTATATATTTTTGGTGCTTCGGCCCCCCAATTGTCTGAGGGACATCAACCCGGCCCCTGTCTCAAAAAGGTTGCCTACCCCTGCTCTTGACTCTTGTTTCATGAGCTCTACGAATTACACAAGATGAGTATACTATATTTAATGTACATTCCACTCACAGTTTTTCAAATGGATTCTTGATTAAAATGTGATATAATTGTTTATACAATATAAATTATTTCTGAAAACAGTTTCCTTATTATTATTATTTTTGTAGTCTTAATAAATATGTCTTCCTTTTCCTTCTCCCAAAACAGGCACAGGAAGATTTCAGCAAAATATGGGGTGTTATCAGCATGAGTACCATCAATCACAATGGAAGATCTGTCACTCCAATCACCAGACCATCTCAGCAGCAGCAAGAGAATTTGCTACTCAGCATTTATCCTGCTCATGTTAATCCATCCATGATACAATACATTGAAGCACATGGGACAGGAACCCCTGCAGGAGATCCTGTTGAAGCAGAAAGTATAGGCAATGTCATTGGTAAAAAGAGGGCTTCTAACTTGCCTCCTCTCAAGATTGGCTCTGTTAAAGGGAACATTGGGCACACAGAGTCTGCTGCTGGGGCAGCAGGCTTAATCAAAGTACTTCTCATGATGCACCATGGAAAGATTGTTCCATCACTGCACTTTTCAGAAAGCACCACCAGCATAAATACAAAGAAATTAAATCTCTCAGTTCCAACTACAGTGGAGAAATGGGATGAGTCCAGTGAATTTGGAAGAATAGCTGGGGTTAACTCTTTCGGAGTCGGAGGAACCAATGCCCATGTGGTTGTCAGACAGTTTAAGCAAACCCAAGTTCTTCCTTCAGTCAAACGTCTTGTAGAATTAGTTCCTATCTCTGCAGCCTCAGGCAATTCTCTCAAATTGACAATGGAAGACACAGCTAGATACCTGAAAACAAGAGATGGCATGGCACTATCAAATCTGGCCTATACCTCTGCGTGTAGAAGAAGTCATGTTAACTACAAGTACAGAAAAGCATTTGTGGTATCTTCTTTCCAGCAGTTAGAACGAGAACTTCGTTCTGGGGCTGAAATGGAAACCGCTCCTGCAAAGAAGCCTCTTCAGCTGATTTTTGTGTTCTCTGGAAACGGCCTGAATTTGAAAGGGGTATTTGAAACTTTGTCGAAATCAGAACCAGTGTTCAGAGACAAATGTAATGAAATAAAAGCACTGTTTCAGAAATATTCCACTTCAGATATCTTCAGATTAACTGAAAGTGAACAGGAGGATTTGTCAAGGCCAGAGATTGCCCAGCCCTTAATCTTTACATTGCAAGTGGCCTTATATACGCTTCTGCAATATTGGGGAATAAGGCCAATTGCA